ATTACTGAATACTTATCGATGGACTCGACGAGCTGGAAACATCATCACTGGACGAACTTTTGCAGGGACTTCAGCCGCTAGTCTCCCAAGAAACCCCAAATATTAAATTTTTGGTAACAAGTCGTAAGAACAGCGAAATCGAAACTTATCTCCATGATCCCGTTCAGTGGGATTCGCTGTCAGTGGACACTAGGGCTGTACAAGAAGATATTCGAACTTTCGTGATTTCCGAGATTCAATCACACCTACGCCTTTATAACCTACCCCAACAAACGCGCGAGGCAATAATTTTGAGGGTAGCTGATCAAAGTCAGGGAATGTATGGGAATTTTTTCACAGCTTCTACCTCTTTGATAGACAGCCCTGACAAATCTACTTAGGTTTCGCTGGGCCTTTCTACAGATCCAGGCGCTTAAGAAGCTAAAACGTCCCGTGACGGCAGAAAAAGTCGAGCACGAGTTGGCATCTCTTCCAAAGAGTTTAAATGAGACGTACGATCGCATACTTAACGGCCTCGATCAATTTGATAAGCCTAGAGCTAGAAGCGCTCTAAGGTGGCTGGTGTTCTCGAGTCGACAACTTTATGTAGAAGAGTTGATTGATGCTAGCCTATTAGACGGCGAGAAGCCTTCAATATTAGGGCATAAGTTAAGTCCATTCGACATTCAGGCGTTATTGGAAGACCTTATTTCAATTCAGCCAACGCTTCCGCCGGGTGAGGACAGTTTTCAGCATAGAAATCATGTCGTTACACTAGTGCATGCTTCTATCAAAGAGTATCTTGTGAGGGAAAAAGCATATACACCTGGCCTGACCCAAGAAATGGGATATTTTAGCCTGTTGGAGAGCGAGTCACAGAAGATTCTAGCGCAGACCTATCTAGCATATTTGCTTTCATACAACACATATGAACTAAGGCACTGTTGCGACAAATATCCTTTGCGCAATTACGCTTGGTATCACTGGGAAGACCATATTGATATCTTAGAAACCCCGTGTGTTCCTACGGTTTCTACAGCGATGTTGCGCAGAAAAGCTACGAAACTCCTGGCGCTTATCAGTCGCTATCCGGGTCAAGAAGAATTTCGCTTCGATCCGACTGCCTCTCCTTGGAGCTCTGATATTCGAGACGCAGCATTGCTCTGGGATGTGCTGGACGGCCTAAGATACATCTCAGGATCTCGGGATTTCAATCTAGGGGCGTTGAAGACAGCTCTCAATGTTCCATTCTTTCATCCACACTACGATATGTTTTGCCCTGCAGTAGTCGATAGCCCGGATCCAAATGCAACTTCGCCAGGCTGCGGACGAGCCTTATCTTCCCCCAATTTACCCTCAGTTTTATACTTAGAGTCATCTTATGAACATCAACAACTGCCGGACTTATCCACGTATATTAGACTTTTGGAGATTCTACCTGCGGTGGATCCTGAAACTGAGATTCACTGTCGCCTGTTCATTGTTAAACTCGACGAAGCTCCTCCATATGCAGCGCTGTCGTATAATTGGGGCAGGTCTACTGTGAAGCCTACAATTAGTCTCGAAGGGCATAAAATTTCGGTCTTACCGTCTCAGCATAAGTTGCTGTCTACCATGAGGACCCGGAACGAAATCGATAACCCCGCAATATGGGTCGATTATTTATGCGTCTATATAAAGAATATAGAGGAATTGACAGCTCAAACTCAAATTATCGGTACTATATATAGTCGCGCGCGCGAGGTTGTCGTAGGACTCGACATTGACGACGACGAAGATACGAAGGGCGCATATCTACTTGCAGACTTGGCTTCCTCCGTGCCCCGTTCAGCTGAAAGAGATCAGTGCATAATGTCTGCGCGACTAGTACAGGCAATAAATAATATTGAATGCTCACAGAGTTGGCACTACATATTTCGGATTTTCAACAAAGAGTGGTGGGGACGCGCTTGGGTAATTCAAGAAGTCATAACGAGTTCGAAAGTAGTTATTCTTTACGGGTCCATCACCTTCAACTTCAGCCTCGTGGAACAGGTCATGCTTGCGGCGAATTCTATTAAAGAGGTGCTGTGGTCATCTAGAAGCCCAACTCTGGCTGCAATCCAGAACAGCGAGGGATGGTATGTCACAGAGCAGATCGCACGCGCCAGACTAGAACATCGATCATATCAAGGGCCTCGCCTTGCAACACTTCTTTGGAGATTTAGGAGGAGCGCCACCGTTAGGGAAGTTGACAGGATTCACGCGCTTTTGAGCCTATGTGATCCGGAAGAAGTGCGCAATATCACAATTGACTACTACAGGCATATAGAGGAGCTCGCGAGCATAGTCTCGAACTGCATACTAAGAAGTACCAAGAACCTTGATATGCTCTCTTTGGTTTCAACTTTTCGGGCTATAGAGGGACCTCAGAGAACGAAATGGTTCAATCCCTTTAATAGCGAAAATCGACTCCCGCTCCAGACCGATCGACAGCCAATGAACACTAACCTGAGTTTCGGGACTACTACACCTAGGATATATTCAGCAGCAGGGTTAAATACTGAGTCTGTTCTGGTGCCTTGTGAAAGTATAGTTGACCTCGTGATATGCGGAATGGCATTTGACCAAGTCGCATTTACGGTCGGTACAATTCCTACGGACTCCAATGTACGGGAGCAATTCACGATGTTGAATAAGGCCATAACATTACAGTGGAAAAGAGCTATGAGCCTAGCGCATCCACACCACTCAGACTCTCAAGCCAGCCAGATAACTATCGAAACCCTGTGGAGAGTTTTGCTGGCAGATCAATGGCCAGTTGGAACACGATTAACGACGGCAACCTACAGAAATATCAGAGTTCCACCCAAGACGGAGGAAGAAGAAAGCGCTTTACTGGAAGCTGTCAACATTTCGTTACACCTCCCTTACCTTGAAGGTCGACAAGTCATTATCACTAACGATTTCCGCCTTGGACTCGCGCCAGAGGAGGCCCGCGTCGGCGATTCTATTGCTATTATGCCAGGAGGAGCACTACCATATATTTTAAGGTCATGTCACGATAATCGATGGCAGCTTATAGGGGAGTGGTACGTATTACTAATAATATCAACTTTTCTTGAGCTATGTTAACTCGAATCAGCTATATACATGGCTGCATGGACGGCCAAATAGCAGAAAAGGCGCGGCTGTTGAATAATGACTGGTGGACAGACACTTTTCATCTCATCTAGCTCTCCATGTTTAGATTTGCCGGCAAAGTTCTTGGCATCATATACACATTGCGTTCACCTCGGGTCGCTTGCTACCCGGCCACCATCGCCTTCCCATCAACAATGGGGGGAGATCCACCAAAGTGTTTATTCTCCTATGACCGAATAGTTGCAAGTGCATAAGTCATAGCAGAAACGCTCATATTTTGTACAAAGAGCATGATCGATACCATATCCTCTATTAATGAAGTGACTAAACTGCTGTTTTATCACCTGTAACAAGCTAGATGGCCAATATTCGTGTTTTGTATCAGCTTAACGCTATACAAGTTCGAAAAGCAGCAACATATAATTATTCTAGCAAATGTGTTGTCAACTGCTGGCACTTTAAATCAGTCCTGCTTAATAAACTTAATGTGGACGTAATAGCTGTGTAGCATATCGGAACTGAGGGTGTATGCCATCGAAGCAAAATAAATTCCGTAGTTTCTCCCCAGTTTATTGGATATATATCCACTGACATATAAATACAAGATTCAAGTATTTATCTAGTATCGAATGGGTAGGACTAACTGTATTTAATACGAGATGGCAGGCGCCATGTTGTTTACAGTACATCTGAGTTTCGCGGCATGAAAATATCTTGAACGTCCAATAGCTTATTTGTACATGAAATAAAATGAAAAGGTATTTATGCTTCAAAGCTTGCTATTGCTTTCTATTTCGAAAGTGTGGATATGTCATCACAGTGTGGTAGTCATCGGTGTCTTGATTAACAGTGCGCTCTGTAATTACTATATGTTCGGGTGATCCATCCAAGTAGGATTATCTAGAAAATAGCCTTCAAGTGATCCTTAAATACTTGTGATCTCCGGAGCCACTATTGGCCAGTTCTGTGATGTCCTACTAATTATGCTAAAGGTCTATACAGTAAAGCTGAGCTGCAAGGCTGGCCCTATAAGGGTCCACAATCTTGCAACAGAGGCTCTTTCCCTGTATTTAGATATAATCGCGTAGAGGGAGCAAAACATTTATATCTTGACTCGAATTATTGAGACACCCGAGTCTGAGGAAAGAAGAGAGGAAATGGTATTATTACTGAGGAGACTGCGCATAATGACGTACTTTTTGAAAATATTCCAGAGATGGTTAGGAGCACCTGCCAGCGTCTTTCTGGAGTCAATAATGCGTAAAGGAGATACATACTAGTGCTCCCTAGCAACAAGGAGAGCCTTATATATTATGATAAGAGGTCGATTGTCCAATGACCAACTGTCATTGGCAACAATGGCAGTTGGTTGAGGGGTTATCTCAGAGGTAATTGATATACCGCAGCTACTTGGCGTATTCGGATGGTAGCGGTACGGGGTTCTCGATTCCCCTAGGTGTTCTTAACTCCCCGTAGATAACTCCTCGGGGTTGTTATAACTCCAGTTTTCTTTTATTAATATTTTTATCACCTCTTTCCTTTTAGTTAAGGCGTCTTTAACGAGCTTAATAGTAGCCAAAAGTATCCCACGTTGATCCCGAAGCCCTCATCTTCGTAGATCGCTTATGCAATAATAATTTCGAAGATGGACAAGTTGCAGTGGAAGTTGTACACCATTTCTTTCAAGCTCGCGGTATAGAATAGCTACCAGTACTAGATAGGCAGACAGCAAGGCATAAGCATTAGCAGAGCCTCACACACAGCTAGCTTAAAGGCCGCATACATCCCCCAAATCCCTGGATGGTACCTTCAGGAAATTCCAGCAAAAGGATGCTTGTTGGATTCAGAAAATGGGTTTCGGTAATTTTCAAAGCTTATTAGTGCGTTCGTTCAAACATGCCCGGTTAGCTCAATCGGTAGAGGTTAGTTCCTTGATATTTCCAAGAAATGGATCCCAATGACTAATGCCAAATAGCGTGAGACTCTTAATCTCAAGGTTGCGGGTTCGACCCCCGCATCGGGCTCAATTCCTGATGCATCTGTCCAAGCCAGATAATCGAACACGTCCTTTTTTTTTTTTTTTCTCCCTTCCAGTTTGAATTTGCTAGCGCAACGCACACACAATCTTTTGAATTCTTTTGTTTTGGATTTCTTGCTTGGTGCCACTGTCACTCGCTGTCAGAGAACGTGACAAAATCCTTCGTTCCTTATATTTAATTCAGCGCATGGGCACGTCAGCATGGTGTCAGCGCCGAGAAACAGAAGGCCTGTGTAAACCTGCATCACGCTTGAATTAGGGGACGGCGATTTCGCTAGAGACAGCAATAGCAAACAAGACAGATTTTTATTTATTTTACTATGATCGTCAATCATTCTTATGCTCTCCTAACAAGGTTCAAAGAGCGTCATACAGAAGGGCGCTCGCCTACTACAGCTATTCCCGACTCACCTCTACATGAAGGGTCACTTAATGAGCGCTCAAGTTGTTGATACTCCCGACTTGAGCTCCTCCTTCTCACTGCACCTCTGCGCCGTCTCAAAATCGATAAGGACTGCCTTTCGATCTCACACAAAGGAAGGTGTATCTATTAATATCGCCATGCAATATGCCTAATGAATGTAGCTTCGCGAGAATACTCTGGTAAATCGATAGGCCTCTAGGTTCCGCGGTTCTTGCCCCATCCACATTTTCCATAACGAAGCCGATATATCTGCCAGCCTCTGTGATATGACCGAAGAATTTGGGTGGGCGACGCCTTTGCCTCAATCCATTCGTACGCTATTGTTTCGGCCTCAAAATATGGTGTTTGCCAAGGGAACTCGGCAAATTAGATGATTACAGGACGGTTGAAGAGCGGATGTACAGCTAGGTGGATATTCTGACGCACACGTTGAAGCTTCTTCGGCTCTAAGTAGTCGATTTGTATACAGTGCCGAGTGTTTTTGAATCCCAGGGAGGTCGTTTTTCGTAGCACGAGAGAAGACCAGGTGTCCGGTAGGTAGGTTTTTAGAGATATGACACTCGTTCTAATCACCGGGAGGGAAGTGCGGCAGCAACCCAATTAATATCGTTGCAAGAGTGCGGTTATCCTTTGGCAAAGCACCCGGATTGACGGTAACATATGTATTGTATTCTTGTCAACCAAAAAGCAGTGTTCGCCTTCTTCGTCGTTATAATTGCCAAGTGTCGCCAAAAGTTGAATGCTGCTATTTGTTTCAGGCATCATCAGACTAAGACTGGATAGCTGGAGAAAATACGGTATACAAAGTTCACACATAGACAACCAATCCCCTTTGTGGCGTTGAGGGCCCTCTGCGTCTTCTCCACACCACGTTATTGAATCTGCCTGGTGACATGTCGACGATGTGGTCGACAGGCGCACGTTGACATTGGCGGTGGCCATCAAGTTCGGTCTAGTTCCAACTACTCGAGATGTTAAACAATGTTACGCATCTCCTTCAATAGCAAACTGATCTGATTAGACAGATTGCAGAGACCATTTTTAGCAGCTGTAGATTATTTATCGTGACGCTACCTGGTGTGCATCTAAGGGTACCATCCCATGACATAATTGACCTCGTGGTCCTGCATACTAGCGTCAGTGGAAGCACATAATATCCGGTCTTACACGCTTTGAGCCGATATAACTGTCACCCATCCTCCGTAAAAGTGCTAGTACGCCGTACCCAGGTGAGATATCCGTTCGAGAGCCTACCACAAGTTACAAATTCTAATTTCACCAGACGTAGCTCACCCGGCCCAAAGAACAAACTCGCTATCGCCAGCCTCGCTGCCATGTGTATACAGAATTATCGAATGTATACTCGTGGTTGTAGGAAGGAGCAGAGTTTAAGCAATGCGAGGCGTGCCCCAGAACCAATGTTAAATGCAGCCCAGCCACGTGGGAGCCAATAGATCCATCAACTCACATGTGCAAGAGACATATGGTCAAGGGGGGAAGGATGAGACGCACCGCTGAAGAAGAGAAGCAGTGGTTTGGCTCCCAAAATCAATGGCGGTGGTGCAAGAGTAGAGACTACTGTGCGGTAGTTTGTTCATGTATCGGTGGCATCTTTCGCTGTTGGATGTTGAGGAGGGGCCAGAGGGTTTATCAACCTAAATACTTGTACCTGCTTCGTGCCATTTCATATGATCAATAATGCCGTCTGTTGTAAACTTGTTCTTCATATTGGTCGCAGACCGCGTTAAGCTTCTGCAGTTATCACAATGAAAACCCCATTCTGCTAAGTGGCCCGATGAGTTGAAATACGGTGCGGAAATGATTGACATGTATCGACGAGGCTCTCGTGTTGTGATGTCCTGTTCCTGGATCCTCCCATCGTACGACTGAATGGGAGCGTCCGGTGTCGCATCAAGCACATGTTGCCGATCAAAGAGTTTGGTCCTTCTATTTGATATCTTGCCTCTCGCCGTGTACCGTCCCGGTAGACTAAGGATGTAGGGGATATGCTTGAGTTTCTTCCTTGAGAGGCCGGTATACTTAGTCGCAAGTGGTTTTGACATAGGTAAGTATTTGGCATGCGATGTGAAGCAAGAATAGCATACCCGTTTGCAGGTGATGAGGTAGAGGTAGCTGCCAGATCGGTGGCAGGTGTCGCACTTTGTAGAAGCGAGTACCTTGTAGAGGGTCATGCAGCTAAAGTGTTTTGCCCTAATACTAACAATAGCGCGAAGGACGTTTGGGCAATGCTTCAACAACATTCGATACTGATGCAGAGAGTCAACGAGGCTCATTGCACGACGATTTACGCGCCGAAAAGCAACCAGCGTTGGCAAATCAAGTGTGAGGAGTATGGCGGTGACAATTTCTGGGGGCAGCACATCTAGTTGGCCTACCGAATACCACGACCCGGCAGAGCGTTGCCCATTGTCAAGAGGACATTGACACTCTAGATCCGCATTATCCAAGGTGTAGTCGACAATTCTCAGCTCCCCATACCCAACATGGCCCATTAGCTGATATAGATTGATCCGTATATTATCCATTACGACGAATAGTTGAGACACAATGACACGCGAAGAGTCAGGGCCGAGGACACTGTCAAAATTTCTCGTATAGACGAGGACTTACCGCGTCAAAACTATAGTGAAAAGGAGTCTGCTGTTATAGGTCCTGGCGTTTTTGTTGGCTCTGTAAAAGGGGGATCTAGTGTAAGCGCTGGTAGACTCTCTGTCAACGAAACAAATATCAGAAATAAGCGATTCTCGTTGAGAGATGTGATTGGGATTCAATTGATCTGCAATTGTTCTATAAGTTGGTGTGTGTTGTTCTTCTGGATTCTACATACACACCAAAGTTTGATGGCTAGGCAGAAACCTTAAACCCGGAGATTCCGTCTCCAGAAATACTGACGGATCCACACCCTATTTAGGTACCTAATCTGACAACAAAGGGTGACAGTGAGCACTGTTATCTGGGCGCTTTGGGGCTCGATTCGGTCCGTCAATAATATTACCAGCTGCTAGAGTCTGTGATAGTTTGACAACACCGATCATACACTGTTGGATTTTTTGCGTGTTGAAGCTTTCAAACTAAACTGATTGGCATGTTGTATGATCAACTGTGGTTAATTGCTGTCAAAAAAAAATCATCTAGTCTGATCGGTCAGGTGAGGTCATAATGCAACGCTGTTGACCGCATTTCTATTGTGACTGCTGTTGTTGATATGAGGACATTCACAGCATCCATTGTGGACTCTCTAACAAACCGTGTCAGTGGTTGCTCTGGCTTTGGAGAATGCCATGCGAGCTACCACTATGACTAATAACACGTTGGGGTCTCGAATTATACTATCAAACGTGCCGCCACGTTGAACACCTTGTTATAAGCCGCGAGAGCTATGCAAGTATGTTCATTCGCGGTTTATGCGTCGGGTACTGCTCCTTGCTAGGCTCAGACTGGGCTCAAAGCGGCATGGCTCAAGTGAAGTTCCCTTTACTAGACAAAATAGTAAAACCTGTTTATCAGGTTCAAGCCCCTGCTTTCCGTGATGATGCTATCTGCTACTGCACTATCAGCTCTTTCTTGGGCCTTATACATGATCATAATAACTGTCGTATAAATGATTCATCAACAAGAAAACTATGAACAGCTATCCACAGGTCCCAATCTCTAGAGACGTCGTTACAAAACCACCAAACGAACTCCGCCCAGCCATCGTAAAAACCTAAAGACAAAAACACTGTCACATCTCGTCATCAGGGGTATCTTCCTTCGTCTCTCCACTACCGCCGAGTTCCTTTTCTAGCTCGTCCCTAGCGAACTCTTCGTAGTCCTCTAGGTTCTTCTGTATATGGACTTTGAATTTGATCACGTCGTTCAACAACTTCTCAATCTCTGTGTGCAATTCTTCGCGCAGAGCATTTGCTCGGAGAGTTAATTGTTCATACCTAAAGTAGGTTAAGTGATTGACAATCACGCCGTAAAATTGGTGCTGAAAACTCACTCAATATTTGTATTCATCTCTCTCTGCTCCATCAGTTGCACGCTTTCTGTAAGCTGAGCTCGCATCTTGGCAAGCTCCTTTTCCATCTTCTCGATTTGTGTGTCTGAAGCGAGCTTTTGTGTAGTTGTGACCTGTGGTGCAGCATGGTTAGCCATCAACGCGTCAAAGAACTTCTTTGCGTTTCACGTACCTCCTTGGTCTTCTCGTATTCTTCCTCGGCGGCTCTGACCCTGTGCTCGAGGGCCTCGACCTCATTGCGTTTGTCCTCAATCGCCTCCTTAATGCCGTCGAGGAGATCGTGGTCTTTCATCATCGCGTCCATAGCCTCAGACCTCCGTTCCGAGATCTCCCTTCGTAGCGCTGCGAAACTGTTCTTAACTTGTCCGCGCAAGTCCAGGTTGAGGATGTGAGCTGGTTGGTACCCGGTCACCGGATCTACCAGTAAGCGTTCGGTCCCTGTAGTGCCAGAATAGGAACCTTTCATGATGGACCCAGTGAAGTCAGACTCATTCACGGTCACCGCAAGCTCGTACTCCTGTCCCTTAGCGTTGGCAGC